CTACTTAAAATCTGTCCTGAAGTGTCCATATCTCATTGTCCCTTACATTATAATGTTTAGAAAGAGAATCATCTTTAATTGCACAATTATGTATGGTGCTTATTGTGTGAAAAAATCTCAGAATGATTATGCCTGATCTGAGAGACACCAGGATTTAGAATGAACCAAACTGTATAAGCATACAATTTGCTTCTGGGTAAAGGCATTTTAACTAGCAGAGAGAAAGATGCATGGAAATTGAATTTGTGTTGTGGGAAAACTCTAGCTGATCTGGTCTGAGAACCATATATGCTGGGCATCTCATAGCCATGCACAAAGATTTAAATGCATTCATAAAAGGGTACCTTAAGAAAATGCATGGGTTGAGAATGACAAACAAATAACAAAGGAATCAAGATGTTTTATCTTGATCATAAGATTGAATTTGATTAACTTTGTGAAATGTCCAGAAGCAATGGATTTAATTCTTGAAGACCTTGAGACCTGTGCTGAGGTTATTTACAGCCACTGCAGAGTGTAGAGCTTCCTGCAAACTGTGGCCTGCAAAAGCAGGGGTGAGGGTTCAGAGCTCACTGCTGCTCTAGGCATTATACTGTACATGTTCTCACATTTCCTGAGACCTTCCACATCCACCTTGCAGATTTGTGCAGCTCTTTATTGAGTTTGGATCAGTTTCCATGGAAACCAGGTCCAGATGCTATACCCAGAAACTGTCCCCATGTGTTTCTTTTTCCTGAGAATTAGAATGTATTTAATTGCTTAAAATTAAGTCAAAGAAAAAAATGCAGGTCCTATTGTATAAAGTCAGTTTTAGAAGCTATTTCTGATGAAAGACCATCTGTCAACCCTCTGTTTTTATTTTTCTTTCCAATTCCTTTTTTTCAAATCCTGATTTTTCTGTTGCACCACACTGTTCCAGCACGTTGTGCTTTGACTCATGGAAATTAGGCTGTCTTAATTAATAACAATGCTTCCACCTAACTAATCTCACCACATTGTAAAGCCTGTCCTTCCCATTAACAGGGACATGCATTATCCCCTGATCAAATTAAAGTTATTTAATTTTCCCTGGGCCTCAATGAATTACAAAAAATGGAAAAAAAATACTAGAGGGGGACGTTTAGAAATTTGTTTACAGCTGGGGAAAAATATTTTAAAAGATAAAGGAGAACCTCTTGGATGTTTGAATACCTATGCAAAAGATATATCTGCAAACATACTGTACAATTTGGCTCTTTTAAAAATGACAGAATATTTCCACTAGCTAAACTTACAGAAGTTGCTTTTGGAAAGTTCAAAACACAAGGTAAAAATGATTACTTTATGAAAACAGCTATTTTGCTTTACAAGTACCCAACATCCTTTGCTTCACACCCTCCCCTCAATCCTATCACAGCCCTTAAGGCAGCTCTTTGGCTCATTTGACCTAGTGGAGAGGTTCCATTAGCCTCATCCTCATAGCCAGGCTTCTGTTCCCTCAGCGAGTCACTGACAAATTTGTATTTAATTACCTCTCACTAAGGAAAAAAGGGTTTGTTTGAAGCTACAGTAGTAACAAAATTAATAGCTTTTGTTTTGGACATGAGGTGCCTAGCTGTTTCCCTTGCAGTTGTTCAAATCTGTTTTCATCTTTAGTTGAGCCAGTGCAATCAGGTACACCACACAGAGGCATAATGTGTGGTCTCCTGACTATTTAGCATTGAAGAGAAGGACTGGCTATAAATATGTACCATATTTGAAACAGCAGCAAAGTGCACGGCTCAGTGTACCACAGTGGTGTGCGCCTGTGGGTCAGGCTTGTTTGGAATGTCTCCTGCCAAGGTGTTTCAGATTGGGGATATGAACTGCTGGCCTGCTGTGTGGGCACAGACTGTGATTTCTCAGACTCTGATGAATGGTGGCACTGATGGGTCATTTGTCCCAGTGATGGAGTTAGTTGTTGCCCTTTGGGAGGAAGAAGAAAATAAAGAAAGTAACAGAAAAGTGTGATGGATCACCGAACAGTAACAGAATAAGTGGCTGTGGATCTGAAGTGGCCTCTTTTGGCTTTCACTGTACTGACCCACTCTAATTGGATGCATTTCAGCATGGAGAAATGTGTCATAAACATATTTAAGTCCAATTGAAAACATACCAGTGGCCAGTACTGTATACAGTCTTGGTTGCATTGTTAGGGGGATTATAGATGAGGAGAAAGAGGAAGCTGGGATTTGTTGTTGAGATTTGAAAAACATGGCAGGGAAATAAAGTTACTAAATTCTTCTCTGCTCTTTTTAACTTGAATTCTGATGTTTCATAATCACATGTAGTGGAGTATATAAAGTGCTGAGAGGGACCTGCTTTTTAACAATTTAAAATTGCTTCATTTTATTAATTTTATATAGTATATTTCACTTAGTAAAGTAAAAGACAAGCATTTTCGACAGTCTTAATTTTAAGGACCATGTAAAGTTTCTAAACATGTTTGAGAGAAAAATGTCCTTGAAACGTAGATTATGAGAGGAAAGGAATTCTTTTAGAAAACATGCCTGCTGAATAAAAACTGTTCCCTGCACTTAATTGCTGTGTAGTACTGTTTTCCATGCATAGCTTTATGAATCACCATTCTTTGCTATTGAAGTTCGTGTTTATTTTCTAACTCTAGTAATCACATGGATATGAGAGGTTGCTTTCTCCACATCATTAATTATATATATCCCTTGACTATCCCATATTCTACTATGTACAGTAGTAAGGTCCTTTAGCTGAACCTAGCTCCTCTTAGAATCTTGTGCTACAGTATCTCCTTCTTTTGTAAAGCAGGCTCCTGTTTAGAAGAGGAAATGTTGTAGCATGGTGAGTGGGCTCAAAGATAGGATGAGCATGTTTATATTCAAATGAGTTCAGGTTACAAAATGGTTTTCAACCATTTTAGGGGAGACAAATTGACACCTGATCTTATAATACTAGCACAAATCTAGTATTGGAAAGCACAACCCCATAGCATTGCATTCTGGACTTCACCAATCCATTTCAGTCTGAACAGCTTGTGGGTTTTAGCACATGCTTGTACTGTAGCACTCATTTCTTCTCTCAGGAGTGATCATAAGCAAATATTTCTTCAGCATGTACTGTAAATATTGGAGCAAAAATAGGTGATTTATTTAAAGAGGAAATTATCAATTGTATCATATGATTTTGCTATACAAAGATCTTTACATTTACACAGATTTTCACATTCATGTGGGTTGTTAAGGAATTTTGTGCCACATGAAAAAGATACAGTATGCCTAATGCATCATGGGGGGCCTCTTGTGGCTGATGGGAAACTCGCACCAGACCTGTGTCTGTAGACTTCTTGTTGTGGTCTTTTTAAGGCTCACATATATTTTGCTGGGATCGTTTTTCCGCATCTACAGTGGTGGTGCAGTGACCTGCCTTCGAATATTCAGAAAAGGGCCTTTGGTCAAATGGGTCTGGATCATATTATCAGCAGATATTACAAAGCAGATCTTCTCCTTTTCTGCTTAAAATAGAAATATAACCTAGTTTGCAAAGCATGTAATGTAGTTACTCATGAAAACTGCAGCTGATTTGTGTTGGATTCTCAGTGGTTTTAATTTGTGACACTGTGGCCCTATTGCTTTTTCTGAGAGACTATTCAGTGCACTAGATAATTAACATTACTTCCCTCATTAAATTGTTAACAGGGAAGTGTTGTGAAAACTGTGTCCACAATATAATGGTGAAGTATTGGGTATGTTAAGGTAATAATGGCAGCCTATTCCTGTTAAGTAATAAATATAATTAGCATAATTTAAAATTAGAGGAACAGCATCAGGTGCTACGCCTCTGCCCAAGTTTGTGGGAGCCACCTGGTTAATGCAGTTTTAAACATCCACACTGGTTTTAAATGGCCGTTAAGTAATGAATTAGTTGATGTGTCGATGTTGATGAGATGAAAATTACAAGAGGAGTGGGACAATGGCATATTTGTACCGTAATATTTTTTCATGACACTACTCAAAAGGCTGTACTTCAGAATGAATCTACTGTACTTTGCCTCCTACTTTCACAAAAAATGTGTAATCTAGTCTGCCACCGCTGTGTATATTTGTGTTTAACTGCTCCTGTGAATGTGGTCAAGGCAATCTCTACTCAAAGCATCCCTTTATTGAAAGAAACAGAAGAAAAGTTATTCTGTAAAGTAGCGCTCAGCGTCCTGTGAGCACTGATAAGGGAAGGAGGAATTTCATTGCTTTCTTCTGCACGACAGGTCTGTCAAAAGCGCAGCCAGGATAGATGCGTTCAGAAGCAATTTGTTGATCAACAGATTGTTCGCATTGATGATATAGAGCCGAAACACTTGATTCTGACACGGATTGGGGGATCGGAGATGAAATAATCTGATGGAGCAGCTGACATGACAGAAGCCACATTAATAGCGGCATATGCCTAGGAAAGAAAAAAAATGCTCAGTACCAGCCAGCAAGTGGAAAGGAAAAAAATGAAACTGCCAGCAATTACTTCAATGCCAGTGGGACAGCTCCTGCTCATTTACAGCATTACAACATTAGACACATTTTATGAAGGGGTTTAGGGAGGGGGAGTAGATGTAGAAGGTGGCATTTAATTCCCCCCTGAGACCACTAATGCAAGGTATCTCTGCTTCATGATAATTATTAGTGTATATATATTATACACATATCTCTCTATTAACTAGGGACTTGTGAAATCTCTTTGTATGGTCAGAAAAAAAAGGATTTAGAAAATTGGTTGAGATAAGGATGTAGGGAGTAGTGGTTAAACAAAAGCCTTTCAGATATGAACACACACTCTCCTGCTCTTTAGGTCTCTTTTTTTATTCCTTAAGACAGCCCACCCCTTATTTTTTTTTCTATTTCTCCTTGGCGTGTCTTCTTTTTCAGATGGTATTTATTTGTTCTCAGTTTGTACAACCGTTGGTCGACTTCACCCCCCCTTTCTTCCTCGCTCACTACGGAGTTTTGTCTTGTGTGCAGGTTCCGTGGAGAGGACCACCGCGGCGACCGCCTGGATTATCCTACTGTGAGTATTGTCATGCTAATTTCTTCCTTGTTTTTACACAGTTTTTTTTTTTGTAAATCTGTTATATTTTCCCTGCTGGTGTGCGGAACAAGACATAGAACGACACAACAAAGAGCTGGAGGTTCTTGTGCGGTTGTCAGGGTTAGAGGTGTTTTGTGTAGGGTGCTCGTGTTGCCGGGGGTGGAGGAAGGGGAGAGGAAGGGAGTCCTAAGCTGAGAGGCGGCATAGAAGTGTTCTGGTTTTTTGTTTTGACCAACTAGTGCAGTTGCAGCTGGTACAAGTAGCTGGAAGTTTCGGCGTATGTACAAGATATTCAAAAACTCCAGGATATTTCATTATTCTTATAGGCTTTTTCTTTTCTGCTCCTTTTTACTTTAGTCTTCCCCCCTTTTCCTTTTCATGTGTTGCATGCTCTTGTTCTGTTAAAACCTTTTTAACACATGATTTCAGATTTTATATGTTCAAGTGTGGAAAGGAATGAGAGTTTGTGTTCAGCTTTATTTAACCAAGCCTGAGGAAATATTTCTTTCATAATATGGTAACAATGAATGAAGTGCCATACGTGCATATGAGCTGTCTTTTCACAGAGTCTTAAAAGTCTTTTCTAGACTCATCAGTGTTGTACTTCAGTGTTTTAAAGGCAGGTAAACACTAGTGGACTCTTGTGAATAAGGTATATTGTGAAATTGTTCTCTACAGTACCATGACAGCCATTGAGATTGCTTTTACAAATGTGGCTCCTTGAAAATTTGGAGGGAGCATCTCCACAGATGTCTCTCTTGTTTGTATCTCGTTGATGATGTTTGTTCATACTGTAACCTCACAGTGCTCATGGCGTTGATCCCTGCCAACTTGTAATCAGAAAAACACCTGTAATTATTAGCTTGTTATATAACTAAACAGCATGGGTGGGTGTAAATAATTGTATCAGAGCACCTGAATCACTTTCAAATTGGAGTTTAACTCCTGTGTCAAAAGCATCTTTAATGCCAGTCCTCATATTTTGGAAACCCTATATCAAGAACAGTTTTTTTTTTTTCATGATAGTGGAGCTGCGTCTGATTCTTCAACACAATGGAAATTTAACGTCTGCTAATGAGCACTATATGTGTGATATAAATGTTCAGAATTACAGAAACTTAGGAAGCTGTTCTGTACAGATAATGAAGCACTTAAGAAACTCAGCGTGTATTTTCTCACATAGTTATTAATTATACATGTACAACATTTATCAATTAATCTGAGTATGATGTTACAATGGAATGGAATGTGCTTGTAGGATATGTGGAATGTGCTCGTGTCCTGTTTTTTCACTCTTCATTCAATTCTGATGGTAAAATGATAAGAAACTGACCATACAAAATGTACTGTATGTTTGTGAGTTTTCACCTGCAAAGTTGTTGTTTGCACACTAAAAATACACACAGGTTTGCCTGTTCTGTGAACTCTGCCACAATGTCTTGGCTGAGTGAGAGATGAAATGGGGTCCAGAAATGTCATGTGCAGAAATTGTGAAAAATTATTTTCATAGGACAATCGGAGTGCATCTACTGTATCCACTATCAACAGACTTCAAACATACTGACTGGAAAAAACACCTGATCAACCTAACTTCGATCATTTATGTGTAACTTCCCAGGAGTGAGAGGGTACCCTTTAGTACAAAAACATCTACATCTGCAAACAAAATTGGACATCTATTAGAATAGGTCTATTGGGCATCAGACTTACAGTACTAATCTGGTTGCAGTCATCATGCCAGTAGTGTTAACTAATACACGGCCACCCCCTCAGTATGGTAACATAATGACAGAGTATAACTGGGCTCCACAAATGCAATCAGTGGCCATTTAGTTAATCTCATTTGGTTACTAGTAGCTAATGTCAGCTTCAGAAACTTGACTATGTAGCTAATTCCTGTTGTAAGTATTAGATACTGTATATTATTTTCCATTTGGGTGAAGCCCCACCAGATATCAGCAAATGGTGCTGTTTTGTGATGATGTCAGTTCTTTCTTTCATTTGTTAATGGTAGGAACTGTATTTACAGGACAACCACAAAAGTTAAGGTGGGACGTACAGTAAATGAAGGACAAACATCACGCAGTGGGCCAGCTTTGTATTTGTGCACATTATCTCTGGATTTTAACTGAATGAAGCACCTTCGGTACAAGGCAGGCATATCAATGTCACCTACTAATGATCTGGCTATTGCTTCACAGAGCAAATCTGTTGGTCCACGTGGCAACGTTTGTGCCAGTCTATGTAATACCATGCTGTGCTTGTGTTCAAGGTGCAGGTGAAAATATTGGGGGCATGTAGGAGGTGCTCCAAATTTGAATTCCCCCTGCCATCCACATCATACACAGTTTTTAACTTTTCTTGTCAGTAGCACTTGTGGAAATGTTGAAAATGGCCGTCGCTGAGAATAAAACAAGACCTAGAACTACAGTACTGTATATCCCACCAAGTACTTATTTTCAATCCAAAGTTGCCTTTGTAAATTGGTTCTTGTGCTCATTTCGAGAGCAAAGATCTAAATGATGTCTGCATTGATGGCTTGTTGAGGAGGTTAAGGTTGTGATATAAGGATTCTGGTCTTTTCGAGCTTATTTTGTGAATGATAGTCTACTTTATCCCACAGATAATACCCCTAATCAACACACATATGCTGTATTCCTAGAATGCTGTGTTGTTTACACCTAGATCTGGAATAATTTAATAGATTTAGCACCTGGTGCAGAGAGGGGGCTCAAGCCAGAGCACATGCAGATAATGAAGGTCTGAAAACTACGAGCAAATGAGCTCTGCAGTAGTGTAGTGAGCTAAAAATATTGTCGAGGTTATTAGATCAAAGACAAGCAAGGAAAACAACTAATTGCCAGTACTGATGCTGAGATATAATTATAATAACTGTACTTATAATTATAAATAATGGATTTTTTATATTTAGAGAACAGTTTTTTTCCCCATCATGCTCTCATTCATGCATTAATGATTGCAACAAAAAAATCTTCTGATTCTATTCTTCGATTTGTGTAAATTTAAAATTTCTACATTAAAGTTGAGATACATGCTTCTTTCCATAGTAATGAAATGAGATTAATATTTTTAATGTTCATCATATGTTTTTTTCTTTAATTCTTTAATTGGTCAAGTGCAGAATAATGCTTTTTCAAATGCTTTAAGAAACAACTAGACTCTGTTGGCTTTACTTAAAATATTGCATTTGAACATCGTTTGGTAGTTTTGAATAAAATGATCCAATCTATAAATGCACAAGAGTTTACCTAACGTGTACCCTATGAGTCTTTGTATCTGTCACTTTGTGCTCTGTACATGCTTCCACATTACAAAGGCATCATGCTAACAGTGAAGTGGTGATTTATTAAACCTGTGTGGTGTCACCTGTGGCTTTGGTCTATGAAGAATCGCGTTACAACAACATGTACTGTAAGATCTCTGGAGTATTAGTGCTCTGAAGTATCCTTCATGAACTCTGCTCAGGGAGTGTTTTGCTGAAATGTTTTAAAACTCAAGCTAATTCTATTCTTCTGTACATCTCGCCAGAGTTTGAACACACTATCCTGTCATTCCTCTTCACTCAGCATGTTTGCGTTTAAAAGGGAGATCAGAATAAAGGAAGACTTTATAAGGGCTTTCCTGTTGGTCATGTAAAAACAAGAGCATGATTTTAAATTTGATACCTTCTGAGCTGATGGACTATAATTTCTTGTAGATCTCTCTTTGAACTTTACATCAATAAAAACACATACTGTAGATAAGTCATAACTTTTAAATAAATTGTACATGCTGTAAATTAAATAGAGAGCTAAAAAAAAGAACAATGCATCATTACATTTTAAAAATGAAGCCACTCCAACTCCAACAATTCTGAACAATCATACTGTAGCAGTAACTGATTATATACAGTACAATAAAATCAATATGCACTATACTATGTCGTATCCCTGTTGCTGCATTTAGTTAACTAATATGTATTTTATTGGTATGGTAATTAAAAGCTGTGCTGAAGATTTTTTGTTTACGTCTTAATATACAGTACACTGTACATCTGTACAAAATCTATAAAAGGCTGAATAATCAAAGCATTAGGTTTTGATCTGAAAGACACTCGAAAAAATATTCCTTTTGAGATTTTTTCTCCTTTTTATCAAGCCTAAATATTTCTTTTTAATGAATATGTGAAATGAAAAGTCTTCATCTGGGTTGACTGTTAGGACAGTAGAATTTATTGAAGAAAGGTCTTTTTTAACCAGAGGCTAGGAAAACTACAGAATCTAAAGTACCTTTTGAAATGGACCCCCTTTGTAGTTTGTATTGAAATTTGCAATGTAATAGCCTTTTGGGGTTACTTTTTGTAAGACCTAATTATTATTATGGAACAAGTAATAGGTTTATTCCATGCTGAAAAAAAGAAGAAAGAAAACACAACATTTTGGCCGTGGGGCCTTCTTCAGGAGTACCCTTCAGGTGTACCCTTCGGCCCCACGGCCGAAATGTTGTGTTTTCTTTCTTCTTTTTTTCAGCATGGAATAAACCTATTACTTGTTCCTTTGCAGCCTATGCATGCTGATGCAGCTACCCACCTGAACTACTAATTATTATTATTATTATTTAAATGAAAGGTGTGAATTTAATTATATTTTCCATGTTGCAAGGGTGGTTTCTTCACCACCTCTCAGGCTTGCCTTTTAAAGGACTGATCACTGATCCTTTTTATGCACATGGGACAATCTGAAAATGTCATTTGTTACAGCATAGACAAAATGACTTGGCACTACGAAGAAAATGCTCAGCACATGAAAAACTTCATTGGCACCATAAACATACAGACTGATCTGCTACACACAATAATTGTGTTTAATTTAAACAATAATAAATCTTTAAATTCTATCATATTTTTCTATCATATATAAATTTACTCTGATGGTAATTTTATAGTTTCACTGACTAGAAAATAAATATGCAAAGCCCAT